GCTCCAGACCCCCTCCCCTTCCTTCTCTCTTTCGTCTCTTCCCACCCTTTTTTACTTCCCCCCCCCCCGGCCCCTTCTGCTGCCTCCCTTCTTCGCTAACATGTACTTCCCACGCACAGACAGACAGACAGAGGGAGGGAGGGAGGGAGGGAGGGGGGGAAGAAAAAAAATGTATTCCGTTGCCGTGTTTCGGCGCAATTTCCTCTTACTTATTCCCTCCCGCGCTCACAACTTCATCCCCTCAGCGCGCGGCTCAACACCGGGCACGCAGGCGCCGTGCGACCGCGTGCACGTTTGCAGACTTCCTCGGGCGGATGAGTGGAGGAGGGAGAGAAAAAAAAAAAAGGCGGCAGGCGTAAACGCATAGTGCACGCCTCCCTCTCACCCCTTTTTTTCCCCCACGCACGCACGCACCCGCCCCGCTCTTCCGGCGCGGCGGTCAGTAGCGGTAGTGGTCCGGCTTGAAGGGGCCGTCGACGGGGCAGTTGATGTACTCCGCCTGCTTCGCCGTGAGCTTCGTCAGCTTGGCGCCGAGCTTGCTGAGGTGCAGCGCCGCCACCTTCTCGTCCAACTTCTTTGGCAAGAAGTAGACCTGGGCCTTGTCGCCGCGCGGGTACTTGCCGGTGTCGCGCTGCGTCCAGAGCTCGATCTGCGCCAGCACCTGGTTGCAGAAGGAGTTGGACATGACAAAAGAGGGGTGGCCGCTGGCGCAGCCGAGGTTGACGAGGCGGCCCTCCGCCAGCAGGATGATGTGGCGGCCGTTGTGCATGGTGTAGCGGTCCACCTGCGGCTTCACCTCCACCCGCTCCTTCGCGTTCGCCTTGAGCCACGTCACCTGGATCTCCGTGTCGAAGTGGCCGATGTTGCACACAATCGCGTCGTCCCGCATGCGGGGAAAGTGCTCGGCGGTGATGATGTCGTCGTTGCCGGTCGTCGTGACGAAGAGGTGGGCCGCCTCCACGACGTCCTCGAGCAGCACCACCTGGTACCCCTCCATCGCCGCCTGCAGGGCGTTGATCGGGTCCACCTCCGTCACCACCACGCGGGCCCCGAAGGCGCGCAGCGCGGCGGAGCAGCCCTTGCCCACGTCGCCGTAGCCGCACACGCAGGCCGTCTTGCCCGCGATCATCACATCCGTGGCGCGCTTGATGCCGTCCACCAGCGACTCGCGGCAGCCGTAGAGGTTGTCGAACTTGCTCTTCGTCACGCTGTCGTTGACGTTGATGGCGGGGATCGGCAGCCTGCCCTGCTGCAGCCGCTTGTACAGGTTCTTCACCCCCGTCGTCGTCTCCTCCGAGATGCCGTAGATCCTGCCGACGAGGTGGGGGCAGTGGTCGATGACGTAGTTGGTGAGGTCGCCGCCGTCGTCGAGGATCAAGTTCGGCACGCCGTCGCCGCTGAAGCCCTTGATGGTCTGCTCCATGCACCACTGGTACTCCTCCTCCGTCTCGCCCTTCCAGGCAAAGACGGGGATGCCGCGCTTCGCCATCGCCGCGGCGGCGTTGTCCTGCGTGGAGAAGATGTTGCAGGAGCTCCAGCGCACCTCCGCGCCGAGCTCGACGAGTGTCTCAATGAGCACCGCCGTCTGCACCGTCATGTGCAGGCAGCCGGCGATCTTGGCGCCCTTCAGCGGCTTTGACTGGCCGTACTCGCGCCGCAGCTCCATGAGCCCCGGCATCTCGTTCTCCGCGATGTCGATTGCCTTGCGGCCCCACTCGGCCAGGCTGATGTCCCGGACTTTGTAGTCGGTCATGGCGGCGGCGGCGGCGGCGGCAACAATAACAAAGACAACAAACAAAAAAACCGAGACGACGGGTCAACGGCGCGGTGCTTGCGGGTGCCTCGCGGAGGGTGGGTGGGCGGCGGTGTGAGTGGCTGGGTTGGATGCTTCAGACGCAATCTTCGACTTCCCGCGCGCCCGCCGCGGTTGTTGCGTGGTGGAGAGAAGAAGACGCGGAAGCAGCAGAAGTAACACGGCAGAAAAGGGCAACACAACAGCACAAAAACAAGAAAAGAAAAAGAGAGGGAAAAGAGGGAAAAAGGAAGGGGAGGGGAGGGGGGGGGCGTCCTCCAGGCACCGCGGCAGCAGCGAGCGAGCAACGGCGAAAGAGGGCAGAGACACACACACACGCACACACATTTTGCTTGCGTGGCCTGCGTGCGTGTGTGCGGGGCGCGGCTCACGCGGCGGGGGAGAAACGCACGTACTCCGCCTCCGCCTCCGCCTCGACGCCGACGACCTCCGCCCGCATCCCGCGCCGCAGCAGCGCGGCGTACTCCACGACGAGGTGCACGCCGTTCACGAACGCGTCCTCGCGCCGCGGCCGCGCCGGCAGCGTCGCATGCGGCACAGACGCGAGGTGGAGGAGAAACGCGACGTTGTGCGCCACGCGCAGCCGGTCGGCGGCGGCGTCCTCCGCCTGGGCCACCTGAATCAAGTCGCTCGGCGCCACGCGCTCCACGAGGCCGAAGAGTTTGCGCTCGCCGAACCACACCTCCACGAAGGGGCCGTTGTTGCCGCGGAAGACGGGCGCAGCGCGTGCCGCAAGCGCCGCGACGGCGACGCGCCGCGCCTCCGCGTCCTCAGCGACGAGGCCGAGGGCGATGCACATATTCTTCTCTCGCCCGCGCTGCCGTCGAGGGGCGGCGCGGTGGGGCAGCGTTCGCGTGCCGGCCCACAGCCGTGGAAGAAGAACAAGAAAAAAACACAACAAAAAAAGGCCACCACCACCACCAGAAGCAGCAGCAGGAATAAACAAAGACACACACACGCATGTACGGCGTATGCGTGCGTACAAGCGCACCAAGGCACCTGCCGGCTCACGCGCGGCAGCAAAGACAACAAACAACGAAAACGGTAGCGGCGGCGACGTGTCCGTCACCAGCGCGTGTCTGGGGGAAAAAAAGACAAACACAGAAGACGCGCGTGTGACGCACCCGCGCCTACGCGTCGAGCCCGGCCAGCCACTCCTCTACGGGCCTTTCGAGTTCCTCCTTTTCCTCCGGCGTGAGAAAGTCCTCCTCCCCGCCGCGCTGCGCCGACGGGATGAGTTGCTCCAGCACGCCGACGCTCCAGCGCAGGTAGGCGACGTGCTCGAGGTAGTACACCCAGCCGGCCGCCCACCGCATCCAGTCTAGCGTCACGCCGTGGTCCTGCATCACGTCGTACAGCTCGTTCTGCACGTCAAGCTCCAGGTGCCAGAGGCAGGGGCCGTCGTAGTGGAGGTGGCGCCGCACCCACGTCGCGTCGTCGGTGGTGGCGAGCAGCTGCGCCGTCTCCCTGTAGGCCCGCACGTTGCGCATGTGCATGCCGCCCTCGTTGGCGGCCATGGAGAAGTGCACGACGACGCCGTTGCGGGACACCAGCACCTCCACTGGGAACCAGTCCAAGAAGTACAGCAGGGCGTTGAGCCTCGGCGGGTTCGCCACCTCAATGGGGCTGTAGGCCACCACACGGCCCGTGCGCGCGGCGGCGTCGGCGGCGCGCTCAAAGACGGCGAGGTTCGTGGCCGCGTCGTGGCGCACCGTCCAGCCGTCCACCGGGGGCGGCGGCCGCGCGCCGGCCTCCCGCCGCATCTCGTCCGCGAGGTCCTTGTAGAGCGCCCGGAAGAGCCTGTAGGTGCCGGGGCCGTACTTCCCCTCCATCGCCTGCGTCCACGCCACCGCCTCCTCCTGCTCCGCGCCGCTGGAGAGCGCACGCGCCGCCGTGGCAAACACGCCGCCGTGCCGGAGAGGCAGCTGGAGCCACTGCCGCCGACACCGCGCGGTGGCAGTCGTCGCCGCCGCCTTCCGCCACATGGAAGCAAGACTAAAGCCCGGCGTGTGTGAGTGTGTGAGAGAGAGAAAGCAATGGAGATTGGGGGAAAAAACGAGAGCCGAGGCACAAGGGAATGAATGGAACAAAGAGACCGGTGGGGGCGTGTGCGGCGGCGGTGTCAGGCGGAGGGAGGAGGGCGGAAGCCCTGGCACGGGTCAGTGGCGCGGGGGCACAGGCCGAGGCGTGACGGCGGGGGTTACACAAACAAACGCGGCAGGCACGGCCGCCGCCCCGTCCCGCTCCGTCCCCCCACAGTGAGGGAGAGCCCAGCGCCGCGCTGCGGTTTTTGCTTGCTTCCGTTGCTGTCGTTTTTTTCTTGTTTCTTTTTGTTTTCCTTTTTTTTCTCTCTTTGCTTCTTTTTTTCCCCCTGCTGTTCTTGTTGTTGTTGTTTTCCTTCTGCGTGTCTTTATTCCTTTTTTTTGTTTAAAGAAGTCTTTCCTGCCGCTGCCGGTGGTCCCCTCCTCCTCCCTCACTTGTTTTGCTGCTTCTCTCGCTCCCCTGCTCTCACGCCGTTCTTCCTCCCCCTCCTCCTTCTGCTTTTCGTTTCTTTTTTCTTTAAATTTCTTTGCCTCTCTTTTTCTTTTCTTTTTTTTTGGGTAGGGGAGGCTTTTTAAACTCCCCCACCCCCACCCCGTCTCTCTCACACACACACACGGCCCCCCGGGGAAAAGAAGCGGCGGCAACGACAAACGGCAGCGGCAGCAGCGGCAACAACAACAAAAGCAAAGGCAACAGCACCGGCGGCGGCGGCGGCGGCGGAGGGAGGGGCGCTACTGCTCCGGCGACCACACCGGCT